TTCCTTATCTTTCTTTCACTACACCTATTTTAGTAGTATGTAAAAACTAAAAGAGAAAAAAAAAGTGTGTGAAAAAAAAAAGTAACAAATTAAAAATTAAAGGTGTAAAATAAAAAAAATTAAAAAAAAAGTTTCCAATATCTAATAATTTTTTTAAAAAAAATAAAGGAGGTGTCAAAAGAGGTGTATATATCATGAGCCGCGGTTCAACTGTAAACATTCCAAAAATAAACCACAAACTGTGCGGCCCAAAACAAGATAAAACCCATTTAACGAAAGAAAAAAAACAATGAGAGGTTATTTAAATTTCAAATTGTGAAAGGTTTATAAACTGCTAAATGTCACGATAAAGAAAAATATGAGAGAGAATAAATAAATAAAAATAAAAAATGAATTAATTTATAAATAATTATAAGAATAAATTAGTTTAAAATTTGTGTACATCAAAAAAGAATTTTTCCTATATATACATTCCATGCCTCCATATTTTTTTATTATAATAATAATTAATTTCTAATATTATTTTTTATTATTTAAATATTTAAGAGTAAAATCATTTAAAAAAAAAGTTAAGCCAAAAATGATTATAAATTCATCTAAGTGATTGTGAGTAGTTAATCTTAAATATTATTTTTATTATTTAAAGATTTAAGGATAAAAGTATCTAGAAATGTGAAGATGCAAAACAGTTATAAACACATGTATCACCTTTATATGTAGGTATAAATATATATAATATTAGTGAGATTGAAACACTCTGTATCTCCACATTTTTTATTATAGAGATGATTAAGAATTTGAAGATTCGAGTAGTTATTGATAGTTAATTTCTAATATTATTTAAACATTTAAGGATAAAATTATTTAAGAAGTAAGATAAAAAATGATTATAAATTCATTTATCTAAGTGAGTGTGGGTGGTTAATTTTCAATATTATTTTTATTATTTAAAAATTTAAGAGTAAAATCATCTAAAAATATAGAGATGAAACATGTTATAAACCCATGCATTTCCTTTATATATACAGTTATAGATATTGAAGTATATAAATGATTAAATTTTATAATAAATTAGATACCCAAATAAATATTAAATTTAAATATATAAATTATATTTAAATTTTAAACAAATAGATATTTTTAAACATATCAACTCTTATATATTAAATATAAATATCTATTTTGCATAAGAATATTTTTTACAATTTTTTTCAACTTCTTATCTAATTTAATTTTTTTATTTATCATATTTATTTATAACTTAAATTTTAATATTTTTAAATAAATTATCAACAATTAAAAATAATCTTACACCCTAATATAAATTATTTAGTTTAAATCTAAAATATAAGTTATAAGTTTTAAAAAAATTATTTATACAAATCTTAAATATAAATTATATATTTTTGTATAATATTTACTTGTATATAATTTATAATAAATTTTTAATGCATAATAGATATTTTATCCACAAAATATATCAGTTAAAATATTAATAAATTATATTTTTTTATTTAAGATAAATAACTTATATTGACAAAAGATTAATTTTACTTTTTTTTTAATTTATTTGAAAAATATTAAATTTTAACTCACAAATAAATAAGATAAATAAAAAAATTAAATTTGATAAAAATTTAAAAATTCTTAAAATTGCTTATGTTGAAGAATAGTCTCTAAAAATATTTTCGTATAAAATAGTTGTTCGCATTTAATATATAAAAGTTAATAAATATTTATAAACATATCAACCCTTAGGGGTAGGGATGGCAATGGGGCCCCATGAGGGCGGGTAATAATAAATTTGCCCCCACTCCGCTGAATGAAAATTGGTCTCATACCCACCCCATATCCGCGCGGGTATTTATTAAGCGGGTATCCATGAATTTCTTGAATACCCACGGATATTTACGGATATCCATGGATATTTATAAAATTTTTAAGAAATTAAAAAAAATATATTACAAATAATTTGAATTTTATATTTTAATGTCATTGAAATATTAAAAATAAAAATTTAATGTTAATGTTGAACTTTTATTTAACGTTAATTTTGTTAAAATAATAATAAAAATTCAAGATAATCAATAACTTAAAATACATCAATCTCACAAGTTAAAGTCTCATCACAAAGCTACAATAATTCAATCTCATAATTTCAAATGAAAGTAAACAACTTAAAATACATAAATCTTATTGGTCCAATCAAAACTAGAAAATTAATCAAATTACATCCAACATAATTTTATAACATGCTTAACACATGTCGGTAACTTCATCAACCTCACTTTTGTAAGAAAATAAGATGAGAGAGTGTAGTTTTAGGGTTATGTGGTACAAGGATAATTAGGATATTTAAGAAATAATATTAAACGGGTACCCGCGGGTATGGATATCATCATACCCGCCCCCGCCCCATTTATAAACGGGTAAAAAATTATCTGTCCCCATTATTCTCGGGTACCCAATTAGCCTATCTATTTATTATCCGTAACGGATTTTATCCACAAATACCCGCGGGTGCGAGTATTTTTGTCATCCCTACTTAGGGGTGGAAAAATGGGTCAGTCCGGCAATGGCCTGTCAAAAATAGGCTGGCTCGCCAATAGAAAACAGGTTGGGATAGTTGACCCGTCCCGCCTAAGGACGGACTAGCGGGTCGGCGGGCCAGCCCGCATACCACAAAAAAATTACATAAAAGAAATTATGTTCAAATAAAAAAAATTTGCTACAAATAAATAAATATAACCATATAAAATTAAAAATGCATACATATTATACATAATATATGTTCAACAAAAGCAAATTATAAACTTATAACAAAATCAAATAGAAATTAGTCCACTTACACCGAAATCAAAACCAAATTATAAACTTGTAAATTACTAATAAACTAAATTTTTTATAGTCCACAAAACAAGTCCAAACACAATTAGTCAACTTTAACTTTCTATTTCAAAAATACTAAATTTGGCCTGGCGGGCTGGTGGGTTTGGCGGGTTGAAATATTGGACCGACCCGCCAATTTTTGGTGGGCCAATGGGCCGACCTGCGGGTCACAGCCCATTTTGTCATTCCTATCAACCTTTATATATTAAACACATACCTTTATCTTGTGTAAAAATATATTTAGAAAATTTTCTTCAATAAAAAAATTTATGGATTTTTTTATAACTTTTTTCTAATTTAACTTTTATTGATTATAATTATTATGAATTAAATGTTAACATTTTAAAATGATTTATCAATAAATAAAAATTTGCAACACAAATTATTTATCATGAATTTAAATATAATTTATATGTTTAAAATATTCATATATCTAAATTTTAAATATAATTTATATATTTAATTATAATGTATATATATATATATATATAATTTTAATTATATATAATAAACATTCATGTGCATTACATAAGGTAAAATACTAATAAACTATATTTTCAATTTAAGCTAAATAGCAAAACATTATTTTTAATTATTGATAACTTATTTTAAAATATTACATACTAATACATAGACAAATATGATAAATAAAAGGTTGAAATTGATAAGTAGTTAAAAATTCTAAAAGTACTTCCAATAAAACGCATAAGATGGCTGTATACGTTTAATATACAAGAATTGATGGTGGTTACTAAATTTTTTTGATTTTTTAAAATTATTTTTCAATATATGAGAGGTGTAATAGTCTATAAAATATGGAGTCTAAAAACAGTTGTTGAGTTATTCTCTTTATATATTATATATTATTTATTGTATGTCTATATTATTAATAAAGACAATATGTTTTTTTTATACACTTTTGTTGACCATTTTATCTTTATAACTTTCAAAACACTTTTTTCTATTTAATTTTTATCATACCTTCTAATTAACTAATAATCACATACCCTCTTATTAATTATCCAAAACTACTTAATCATTTTAATCACTTTATCATATTTAAATTAAATTATTTTTAGCATTTTTTATTTTTTATTTTTGAACAGAGTATATAAAAATATGAAATATCTTTTGCACAATAGTAGATATATAAAGAAAATTGAAGTAAAAATTAAATAAAAAATATCTTTTAATTTTGTGATATCTTTTTTCAGGATAAATTAAACTTTGAGCCATTTATCTTATTTTTAAGATTTATTTTAGTACTTGAAATTTTGAAATCCTCATTTTGATCTTTACCTTTTAAATTTAAGTCAATTTTTTTTTTAAATTAATAACCATTTTCAATTTTTAGACATAATTTTGAATATTTTTTTATTAATTCAAATTAATTTTACTCACATGAAAATTACTGATGTAATTAATGTTTAAGTAAAAAGAGTCATAAACATAATAAAAATTGCATAAAAATAAGTCTAAGAAACAATTAAAAAAATGATTTCAAATTATTTTAAATTATTGTGGGATATATTTTTTTATACTATTTTTATTATGTTTGTATCTCTTTTGAATTTAAACATTAATTAAATTTCATAATCTTCATATAAATAAATTCAATAAAACAAATTTGACGTTTTAAATTAGTCATGAAATAATTCAAAATCTTATCATAAAATTTAAAACTACCACTATTTCATAAGAAACATATCAGTTCAAATTTAAAAGATAAAAGATTAAAATAATTATTTAAAACTAAAGATTAAATTAAATTTGGAAAATAAAATAAAAGAAAATATGATTTAACTTATTTTTTAACACACTCTAATCTATAATATAAGATAATAACTGATATAAAAGAAAGTAAGATGATAAAATTATGTTACCATATCTTATATATAACGGTTAAATAAATATAAAAAGCAGTGTTTATCTTATCTCTTTTGTTATGATAATTACTATGGGGCGTGGTGGGTGAAATAAAATTTGTAGTATTTGAAAACAATGTACTAGAAAAGAGATGGACAAGACATGCTATATATTAATATTAAATTATTATGTGGCGTTGTCATTGTCATTTTAGATTCCAATCCTTTCTTCCTTTCCTTCAAATTCTAAATTCTAAATTCTAAATTCTATTCCATTTAGTATTTATTCTTTCTTGGTCGCACAACTTTCTTGTTTCCTCCAACCATTTTCTCTTTCTCTCTCTCTTTCTGCGATTCGCACACAATGGGTCTTTGGGATTCCTTCCTCAATTGGCTTCGCAGGTAAACCTCTTTTCTTCAATACTATTCCTTTTTCTAAAGTTTATTTTTTACTTTCCCCTATTTGATTGTGAAATTTAATCTTAACTGTTGGGATATGCCTTTGATTGAGATTGGGAAAGCATTAATAGCTGAGCTTAGGTTAATTAATTGATTTGCGGGTTCCGTTTAAGCTAAGCCCTTGAATGATTATGAGTTTGTGTTGTTTTGTTTTGTTTCAGCTTGTTTTTTAAACAGGAGATGGAACTTTCCCTTGTTGGCCTTCAGAATGCTGGCAAGACTTCTCTCGTCAATTCAATTGCTGTGAGTTCCTCTTCCTGCATTGCAAATTGCAATTTACTCAATTTTCAAACCCTCAAATTCAATTATGTTATAACTCTTATTGCTCTCGTGCCCCTGCTTTGGCCTTGTATTGATATTTGGTTTTGTTTACCTGCAGACTGGGGGATACAGTGAGGACATGATTCCAACGGTGTGTGTCTTTGTTTTTTTATTGAATGTGTGAAGACTGTGAGGGTGTTTTCCTTTTGTAATTGTATCTAATTGTTTGTGTTGAACTCAGGTTGGGTTCAACATGCGGAAGGTGACAAAGGGAAATGTCACCATAAAGCTTTGGGACCTTGGTGGACAGAGGAGGTTCCGAACCATGTGGGAGCGATACTGTCGCGGTGTCTCTGCCATTGTGTATTGTCTCTCTTTCTGACATATATTCAAACTTGCAAGCATATGCATATAGTATATATTCACACACATGCATGTCTTTCATTATGTTTTTTAAAGTTTTGGCTTTGGATCATAAGTTGCTGATAGTTAGACTAATAGGATATTTGAGTACAGATTTTAAGGATAATGATTTTTTTCTCTCAAAAGCTTGCTAAAGAATGATTATTCCTCCAAAATAAGTTTAGCTATGTACACACTGACTTGAGATTTTAGGTACCCACAATAACAGCGCTTGGTTTAATAGGTTTTTTCTTTACTATACTTTTTGCAACTTTTTAGACTTCAACGGGAAACTGTTTGCATTATACAATTTCATTATTGGAGGTGTGCTTTTTACTTGAGATACCCCATACCATTAGAGGGTTTTTTCTGGTTCCTTGGTGATGTCCATAAAGAATCAACAATTTAAATGAAGTCTTTATCCTTTACCTAAGGGTGCATTTGTTTCAAAATATAGTAAGTTGTTTTTTGGAATGTGATATATTTCCATGTTTGTTATATATATTTTTTTAAAAAAAATACCAAGCATTATTAATTCCCAGGTAAGACACAATTTTAAGCCTTGCTGTATTTATTTATTTCCATGTTGATGGATCATGGATGGCTATGTTGCTTTAAAAGTTTTCCATTCCTAAGCTATCTTGTCATCCGACCGCTGGGGTACAACCACTCCCACTTCTACCACATTCTTTAACCCATCATTTGAATTTTGAAAAACATTCCCGAAAACATTAAATGCTAGCCAAACACTCTTAAACATACGTTCCTGAATTGTCATAATAGTGAAACAAAGACCTGCTTAAGATCTTTTTAGCAGAAAAGGAAAATGTCAGTAAAGCCTACTCTTATAGTGATTACCTCTTGCAAGGACTAACTATCCTTTAAGTTTATTTAACCTATCAAGAGAAGACTTAGGGACAGTTTTGATTTAGATCTCTAATATGTAAGACCTCATGCAAATAGACTTTGTCATTTTAGCGTGGATTAGCTTTATTTCACCGCTACATATGCTTAAGCGGAATTTGATATGAGATGGAGGCATTAAGAACTGAACTCCTTGCTTCCACATGGAAGAGGCTCTAATGCCATATGATGTTTCAATCATCCTTGAAGTACTATCCATTAACAAAGGCACAGTGATGTTGTCATTTACACTGCTTAGGTCTCTAACAACCTATAATCCAGGATATTGACCCCAAAAGCATTTTGTATGCTGTTGTCTTCTTTCCTGTTTATGTTTCAATTTTCAAACACAAAGAATGGGAAACATGATGCTTGGTTTTATCAAAATCTGTTGTCTCTGCTTGTCTAATGGAACATTGATCATGCATGCTTCATCTCGTGGAGTTTATATAGCCCTCTCAAGTTATGGAAAGTGTTCTTTCTCCATGCTTTTGCACTTATGTTTCCTTTCATTGATGGATGCAAATACAGGTACGTTGTAGATGCTGCTGATAGAGACAGTGTTCCGATATCTCGAAGCGAGTTACATGACCTATTGACAAAACCTTCTTTGAGTGGGATTCCTTTGCTTGTTCTTGGAAACAAAATTGACAAGTCAGAAGCTCTTTCTAAGCAAGCATTGGTAGATCAGCTGTGAGTTCAGAGAATATAAGAAATTATTCCAGAAATCAATATTGTTACATTTTTTTTATTACTATTGAAATTTGCCTTGATGGCTTACGTATCTAATTAAACATTTGAATTTTCTCCTTGGTTGATTTTCAGAGGACTTGAGTCCATGAAAGACAGAGAGGTCTGCTGCTACATGATTTCATGCAAGGACTCCGTAAACATAGATGTGGTCATTGATTGGCTAATCAAACACTCAAGAACTGCAAATTGATCCTTGGTTTGACCAGTATTTCATTTTTGGTCAAAGATGCAAGGTGTTGAGGAAATTCCATCACGGTAGAATACATTTTCTTTAATTTTAGTTGTGGTTTTCAAGTTTGTTTGTACAGTGATCAAACCAGGTCAAATCTTCCAGGCAATGTTCTTATGTACAATTTTTAAATTTTTTTTTTTTTTATGCTTTCTACTTTTAATAAAATACAAGTCCAGCAACTTTATTTGTCTGAAAAATTGAATGCTATTGTGTTCCATATAGGGGGAGAAAAGATTTTATTTGATGAATGCTTCCCAAATAAAATTTATTCACCATTTGAAAGTGTACCAACACTTGGAATTTGAAAGTAGCAAATGCTTTAAATATTTCTCGGTAATCAATTTGATATATACAAGAAGACAGCCACTACTTAGAATAGTATGTGATTTTTTGGTAATTTTCATTATCTATTTTTTATAACTAACAAGTTATCTTGCGGGCGTGCTTGTATTGCCTTTTTAAAACATGAGAAATGACCTGTTTCTTTTTTTTTTCTTTTCACAACAGTAAAAATAACCATTAGATCACTTGAGTTCAACAATGAATCTTTGGAAAATTGAACAGGCACAAATAATGTGATGTACAAGTTCAACTAGGGTTTGTCTCTCTAAAATGATATTTAAAAGATGGAAATATTTGAGCAAAATAATATTTTTTTTTACCAATTTAAGTATAAATACCATATAGAAAATACCTAATATAAAATGTCAGTTTTCTTTAAGAAAACTGATGATGCCTACTTGTTAGGCATCAATAGCTTTTATCATTATATTTAAATATATAAATAATAATATAATATTTACAAATTTTTAAATATTAAATTTAGAAACATAATAAAGTATTATAAGTAATAATTGTAAAAATGTTTGCACATCATAAGTTTTATATTGCAGTTTAAAAAATGCGAGTAGCAAAATATTTCTATTTTTTAGTTTATTTAAAATATCCCGATAGTGATGTTTGAATTTTTGTTGCATATTAATTGTTAAAAAGCGATAACAATGACGTTGCAATATTCACGTGATCTTGTGCATTGTTTACATAGGTGCCATTAGTTAGTGCCGTGCAAAATATTTAAATCAATCACAAGGGATTCATAAACAAACTATTCATAAACTATTCGTTATCGATTTGATTTATATTAAAAAATTTGATTTATTTAAAGAAAAAATTCAAATTGATTTATTTTGGAAAACTGGTGTGATTACCTAATATATTTTTATAAACTGAACGGATTCTATCTGCTTTTTTAAAAAAATTAATTCATATATAAGTAAAAAGTGATTAACTATATTACACTAATCTAATTTTAAAATATTTAATCAATATTTAAAAAAAAAATCAAATCAATTAATTTTACAAAAAATGAATCGGTTAATTGATTCACTTTTATAAAATGGATCAGTTCAATTTAGTATGGATTTTTCAAGAATCTAATTCATGAATACTCCTAATATTAAGGTTGTTTATTTTCTTAATGTGTAGAAAAAAAACTTTGCAAGATTTTTTGTGTGAATAATAGTTTTGTTGAATTGGCATAATTTGGTACATTGATTTTGTCAATGCGATTTGGGTTGCTCCTTTGCCTAACACGAGACAAGACAATGTAGGATTCTTATGTGTGAATAGTGACATTGCAATATTTAGTATAATCTCGTTTGTCTATTTCATGGTGCAATTTGGACTATAACTCTTTTCTTAGCATGTGGGACAAATTTTACTGGATTCCTGCCATGTAAATAGTAGTAACACAATATCCTTGTGCAATCTCGTGCATTGATTTTGTGGATACCATTAAGGTCGTCCCTTTCGTTAATGCTTAGGAAAAACGTTAATGCTTAGGAAAAACTTGTGCGAGAGTCTTGATGCGTGAAATATAGTTTTGTAAGAATTGGTGTGATTCTATGCATTGATTTTGTGGGTACCATTAAGGTTGTACCTTTTGCTAACGCTTAGGAAAAACCTCACCAAGAGTAATTGATGTATGAGTAGTAGTTTTGTAAAAATTAGTGTGATTTGATGCATTGATTGTGGATGCAATTTGGGCTTCTCATTTTCTTGACATGTGGGACAAAACTCTACTAAATTCTTGATGTATGAACAATTAAATCACAACATCTTGTGCGATCTCGTTCATTGATTTTGTAGATGCTATCAAAGTTGTTTCTTTTGCTAACATGTAGAACAAGTTTCTTGGACAATAAATTTCAAATCAAATAGTTCATTCTTTATTTCATGTCATTCAATAGTTACAATAACAGGTTCTCAAAATTAAAAACCTGAAATATATGACATTCCATTATAAGCTAAATGTAGTACCTTGTAAATATCATCTTTATCAATTCTTGTTTTTATGTTGAAATCCTTCTTACTACAATGGCAAAGATGTCAAGAAAAAAGACATATATGTGAAGGAACATGCACACATATGCATGTGCATGTATAATTTACTTGCATATTTGTGGTGTTTGTGCACCTGACATAATTAATTTATTCAATACCATGAATTTGCCATGGCAAAGATTTGTCAAGAAGGAGCACGTGTAAGAATGAATAAGTATCTAGATGTGTGTGCATGAATCATACATATTTATTTTTGTGTGGGTGTATGCGTGCAAACAAGTGTGCGTTGCAATTTTACTCACAACGGCCATTTTCGGAACGGGCTGTTCCAATTTCGGAACGGCCCGTTCTAGACTAAATTTTTTAGGTATTTTGGTAGTTCGAGAACGGCCCATTCTGGGCTAAAAATTACAGGTCCTTTTTTAAGGTTGGAATGGTCTGTTCCAGTTTGGGAACGGGCCTTTCCAGTTTCTGGGAGCAGCCCGTTCTGGGCTAGAATTTATAAGTCTTTTTGGATGGTTGGAACGGCCCGTTTCAGTTTTGGAACGGCCGTTTTGGTCTAGAAATTTTAGGGCTTTTTGGAATGTTGGAACGGCCCGTTCCAGTTTTGGAACGGCCCGTTCT